ATATATATATATATATATGAATTATCTAAACCAACATAAACTAGACATATATACGCATAAAAATATACTGCCAAATAAAAGGCTGTAAATATCACACGGTGGAGCGGATGGGATGGGTACGACGAAGTGGAATGACGAGCAAGGCTACGGGTCTGTAATCGTAATAATCTGTTATACAATGAAGATTCGAAGACAGACTTGATTTATAAAAGCTGTGAAAAAGTCGTGAAATCGACTACCTGGTTTCCTGAATAGATGGTAATTGAGGGCATTGTTTAATAACTTAATAATCAGATGTCAAGCGACCAGGGAATCCCTTGCCCTGTAGTAATGGAAGATCCCGACCCAGACGAGGTACTGCGCCTACGTAAAATAGGCGAGGAAACGGCAGCGCGCAAACGGGCCAGGAGGTAAGACTTCCACAAGCATAAAGTTCTAAGTGTATGAGCTTATGATTGTTGCATCCCGTTTAGCTTTTGTCTCTTGCTCTCGAAGGACCTCCCATCTTCGAGGGTAAGCACCACCGAATGGTGCTCTTGCGGTTCGTGTGTATCGTTTACTACGGTACACGAGAACGTCTGCTGCAGGGAAACCCTCGTGAACAATGGAGCTGGTGGACATGGCCACGAAAATGAAGCTGTTAGGGGGTTGCGAAAGAAAGTCAGGGAATCCGAACATTGCATCGTTCACCACCCCTCATTTAATAAGATAGCACTGGATCGCGAGGTATCTTATATCTGTATTCGACTTTATTTGTGAGTATTAGCGTATACTTCCACTATGTATAGTTGAATAAGGTACTTCGCGTCATGATTGAGCAAATGAGGTTAGAGAAGAAGAAATGCAAGCGGCATGAAGTAGATGATAATAGGTAAGTTACTATTTAGAGGTTGATTCAGTGTTTTCCACTCTGTCTGTTCAGATGCTTCCGATACTGCGCCTACCGCTCTTTCGTAATATGGTGCTATGGGCGTCTCGGCATACTTAGAGGGTTCGAACTTCCTGCGTGTGTTAGAGGCGCCATAATGAAAGAGTTCCCTTCTGATAGTGGAAGTTATGTCGAGGTAAGCCAGGTTTAGGGTGTCAAGGCTTTCCTCGTATTACCACATTATTACAAACTGCTTCAGGGACAAAGCAGTAACGGTAGCAATGATTGTGACGACGAAGACTGGCGTGGTAGTTTTGTGTGAATAAATGTTCTTAGAAATGTGCTCACCTCTACAGCTTACACTCGTAACGATCGCCAGCGCCATGAGGTCCGCGATCATCTCGGTAGAGTCAATATGCCTTTTCTACAAGGCTAAGAGGTGACTCCTAGGAACTTGAACTAAAACTGAGCCCTAGACAAATGTTTTGCTGAAGATAAAAGCTCCAGCTGAAATTTCCTCGAAAGCTAATTCCGCTGGATTTCCAGTGTCTTCAGCACTCTCCATTCTCCGCTATGTTCTGCTAGCCGACGGTGTTGATGTGCAGTGTGACCATCATGGCGTTCAGCGCATAGTCGAAATTGGATAGAATATCTCCTGGCGGCAGTAGCCGCACATGGAAGTTCCTTCTAGGGCGTGCTTTCGGCAAATCTCTTTGGAAGTACTTGGAAAGGATACTTAAATAAGCCTTACTCCTGGCAACCAAGACTTCCGTTTGCGAATCCCTCAGTGATCCGTGACTGCACTTACAAGGAAGATCTTTCAGGGCGTGGGATGCTTTTTGAAAATGGTTTTTTGCATGGTATAGGGACATGAGCACTGAGTATAGAACTATGGTCTATTTCCGCTAAGTGGCCTTCCGAATGCCAGAAAAGAGTGAAAATGATTTTGTCAGACATCGCCTTGTACCCACTGAGCGTCGTTTTTTCATTCATGGCGTCGACTTTCCGCATAGCAGAAGGCGCCAGTGTAGCGAAAAAGGGACCCACATGTTGAAAAGTGCGGGGAATTTTCACATAGGCTGTCCATGGTTGAGCAGCTAGCAGCGACGGATGGGGTGGTGGATAGCGATGTGGACTTCGAATTGGGACCACTAAGCTGGGTTGATGGTTCGGATCCCAGAGGCTATGTCGTTTTTGCATTTCATGCTGCCACCTCCAGATTGGATCCATATTGCACCAGGGCCAAAGCAATGAGCCAGAGAGGTGGAGGTGGACGACAAGGCTGGCCTGGCCGGCCACCTAGTCGTACTCGATCCCCAGGCATACTTGGTACCAGCGCCACTGCACCGTACGCTAAATGCACTCCTCCGCATCTTATTCACTCCTACGACTGATGCCAAAAGCGTCTGTTAAGGTTAAATCAGTGGCCTGTATGTATGTACATTGGCCGTGACCTTTAACGTTACTTATGTGTGTAATTGAATATTGCAGGGATGTCTCGAATCTGTCATCATTTTGTGAGTACCGGTACCCACTCCATGATTTTTTTGACAAGTCTGTGAGTGTTCTTTCATTCGTAAATCTCGATCGCGAACTCGAAAACCCAACACCTGGCTGAGGCCTCGATGGAATCCACATCCGCAGCCGAACACACAGGAACCTGGACACCATACCGAAGAAGATTGCCAACTACGTACTGACTGTGTAGCTCTGCCCTAATAGAGCCGGTTTGGTGAAGCGTAGCTGTTCCGCGCACCAAAAGAAGAAGGAGGTGCTGCCTTCTACGACCCATGGCCGCCTCCTCTGGCACGACCGAGAAGTCCTCGATAAGACGCTATCCATAACGGAAGATGGCACCGACTAAACAGGTGAACGCTGGGCCACGACAGCCTCCTACACCGAAACCTGTGTGGAAGCGAATATATGCTGATGTCGTTCGCTCTAGACACGATGGAAGCGCCGAAGACGTAGGACACAGGATCGAGTTGGACTGCTCATTGGCTCCGGTCCCGACGATGATCGAGCTCATTGCTCATTGCTTTGGCCCTGATGCAATATGGAGGTAATCTGGAGGTGGCAGCACAAAATGCAAAAACGGGATAGTTTCGAGAATCCGAATCATCAACCCAGCCTAGCCGTCCCAGCTCAAAGCCCACATCGCTATCCACCACACCATCCGCTCTGCCAGCAGCTCAGCCATGGACAGCCTATATGAAAATTCCCGCACTTTTCGACAAGTGGGTCCCCTTTTCGGCTACCGTTCACGTTATTTTCATTGAGCAGTCCACTGGCGCCTTCTACTGTGCGGACAGTCGACGCCACGAATGAAACAAACGAGTGGGGAGAAACGGCCATTTCTGACAAAAACATTTCCACTCCTCTCTTGGCACTCGGAAGGCCATTTATATATATTTATTACATAAGGTATCTCATGTGTAAGAAAAAAGGAAAAAAGTTCATAACTTCAACGACAATATGGCACCGAGTTTAAATGCAACATAAGAATGTCTGCCAGCGTGGAGCAGGCTGATATAGAGGTGTGCTGTGGAATGATGGCAATAAAATATGGAGTTATGCTGTGGAATGATGACAGTAAAATATAGAGTTACCAGGCGGCTACGCACGCTCTCGCGCGCGCTAGGGGCTCTGACCATGGGAGACGGAGCGGCATGAGCTGATTTTCATTATAGACCTTTATCGGATTTATGAGTTTCCGCTCAAACATCGCCTCCTGTGGGCGGAATTTGGTCCTGCGACCCACCATGAGTGTTCCCATCCTGTCGCCTGTACTCCTACCGAGTTTGAACTTTCTAGTTCCGTGGGGACAGAAGTTATGAATTTTCGCATAAACCCCGCCCCCTGTGGGCGGAGTCTGGTTCTACCACCCACCATAAGTTTCCCCAACACGGTGTCTGTACTCCTACCGAGTTTGAACTTTCTAGGTCCATTGGGACAGAATTACGAATTTTCACCCAAACCCCGCCCCTTGTGGGCGGAGTCCGGTTTC